CCTCAGCGGCATCCATTTTACTTGCAAGGTTCTGAACGACTTTCGCGATTCTTCTCTTTACCTAATTCTGCGTTGTTGATATTTATTTCGTAAGAGTGTAACTTGAGTTTAGTGGGAACAATGTGCATTATGCGCTGCGCTACCGAAAGCAGGCGCCTTATGGCTGATTCTTCGCCGACCGCTTCATCTTCCGCGGCAGTTTCACGAGCCCAGAGTTGCAAGCTACGACCGTGCTTTTAGTTACTGCAAAGCATCCACGCAATAGTCCAGCCTGCATGCCGCGTGCGGCTGTGGCCAACATGCCCACCTGCGCAACGCGCTGGCGCACCTCGGCCTTTTCGCCAAAAAAATATATACACTTGTACACGCACAATTTGTGAATCGCACGCGCGCACCCGCGCGGTGAAATTCGCTCCTGGCTTTTGGGGCGTGATGTACGGACCTTTTATTCGCGAAGTACGACCGGACACATTTCTGCGAGGGGCTGCTTAAATATTTTGTCTCTGCTACGATTAGCTACATAACTGGCCCGTTTGCTGCGCGCACGATGGATGGAGAAGGGCGACGGCCGAGGGTGCTGCTGGGAAGCACAGGTGTATACTTAATAACCATCGAAATGAACATATCGCTAACCAAAGCGCTTCGGCTAGCAAGTCAACATTAAAATTCCTTCGGTTCTGGTTCCTATCGGAAATACGCCTTGCAGGCAGTGTAGCCAGTATCAAGGTCGCTGCTCTATGCCGTTTGCTACTCGATTTCGCTGATGTTAAGCTTATTGTAACAACCTCGGCAAGACATTTTATCAACGAGGCCGACCTGCCTCCGGAAGTCAAGCCAGTTTTCGGGGTGCGTTGGACAAAAAATATAGGACAATTGAGTGGCCCAAGACTTACGTGGGCAATAAAGGCGCAGACTTAACATACAGCGTTCTTCAAGGAAAAATCCAAACGTCCAATTTCATGTCCGCTTTGTCGTGCACGACCTTACCAGGGCGGCGTCCACAAGGTACGCCCATGCTTTCCTACCAATGCCCGCCCACCCACCAACCAGGCAACCAGTTCCCTTCGGGCCAACTAGTACGTCTGACCCTGTCGTCCCCCGGCTCCCTTCAAATCCCCATCGCCGTCCCCACCCCTCCCAATCTCAACCCCACCCCGCTGCCTCCTCATGTAACCAAATCCGCCCATACCTAACCCCCACTCTCTTCTCAACACACGTACAAACGCGGCTCAGTCCTTAGAAACACCCACATGAGTCCGAAGTTCCTCCCGTGTGCAAAGAATTCCACTTGGGTCGCTCTGAAACGTATCACGTGCAGGACGAGGCAGAGTGGCGGCAATGGCGCGCTGTGGGCGACCCCGTCCTTCACATTGAGCTGCGTCGGTGGGCAGATATTCTGTTGGTAGCACCGCTGTCAGCTAACACTCTGGCCAAGATGGCCAACGGGATGGCAGACAACCTGCTCACATGCGTCGTACGAGCCTGGGATTTCACCAAGCCGCTCATGGTAAGGTGGCTAGGAGAAGGCGCAGGAGGGGGGGAGGTGGTGAGGGGGGTTCCGCCTAAGCGCGATGACACTTAAGGAGTGGGAAAACGCGGGGCCAGAAGGAGGACGACGGGCTTTGTGCCAGGGGCATATGTTTGCGGGAAGACGCAAGCCCTTCAGCTCTCCACACCGGCATGCCAAGTCGATGATGGCAGTGCGTGCAGGGCATTGAGATGCCTGGGATGTATGGGCACGTGGGAAGAGAGATGTGGGGTAAGGCAGCAGCGTGAGGATCTAGCTGGGAAGAGGTCGGTCATGTTAAGAGGCGAAAGAGAGGTATCGTAGTGATTGTTTATGGTAATCACCGCCCGCGGACCACCTCCTCAGCGACCCCAGCCCCGATTCGTAGTTACACGGGTGGAAATCTCGGTGCATGTCAGTCCCATAAGCCCTAATCCCGTCTCACAGGTTCCGGTCTCCTCTCGCCACTATACCACTGGAACACCAAAGCCCTCAAGACGATCCAAACAACCAAAACGCTCCAACGGCCAACAACCAACTCCAAACCTCCACAGGTGGCTCCCGCCATGAACACGGCCATGTGGGTCTCGCCCTTCACCTCCCGCCACTTGGACACGTTGACCCAACTTGGCAGTTGCAATTGCGGCAATAGCAACAGCAGCAGTAGCAGCTTTGTCATCGTTGCGCCGGTCAGTAAGCGACTTGCATGCGGCGATGAGGGCACAGGCGCTATGGCGGCGCCAGAGGATATCGCGGCGAGGTGCCGTCAAGTGCTGCTTGGAGCTGACGGGGGAGCTGGCTGAGGAAGAGTCACATCCCTGGGGCTGCAGCTCCAGGGATTGCCTCAGCTGCCACCGTCGGGGCTGGTGCCAGTGCTATAATGAGCAGTAACAGCATGAATGGCATCATCATCACATCAAGATTAGCAAGAACATCAATGGGCAGGCAGAGTAGTGGCAGTTGTATAGTTTCTTGGCGGTGGAGGGTGGACCGACGGCTATAGCAACACAAATAGCAATAGCAGCAGCAGGGGTATGGGTGGATGCGTGAGGGGCAACCGCAATAGTGTTTATGTGTGATAGGAAGGCTCCAACGGGAAAAGCGCAGGAATTGTTTTTGGCAGTGACAGTGACGGCGGCGGGGACGGCAAAACGCTGATGGAGCAGATTACGGAGGCTTGCAGACTTCAATGAACTATTTTAGCGTCTTTGGTTTGTGCGTCGTATGTGTGCTCTTAGCTATGTTGCTTCCCGTTGAGACATTTGCAGTTGGCCTCGACCCTTTGTGCACGTGCTGGGCACAACCGGCGATCAAGGGCCACACGTGCTACGTGAGTAGTCGGTTTAATTACAGCCATGGCGGAGAGTAATACGCGTGCGGCAACTTGACCAACCAGATTGACACCGTATATCCAATCATTCTTCCTTGTTGAAGGTCTCCAACAGCAACAATGGCCCTTGCATGCTCGGATAGTCCTACAAGTAAGCAAACCAACGGTACAACTCCCGTCCCCTGCTGAACAGCGGCAGATTACCAAGTATTCAACCCCCGGGTTACTTTGCTCTCGTCTTTCCCCCACGCAACTTACAGCCATGGCATCCCGCTCCAAACGCAACCAGCCGACCTCCCAACCACCTTTCTTAATCCCGCCCTTCCAGCGAAACTCCAACTCATGAGATTCTTCCCATCCCTCCCCGCTTTCCTGGCCCTCCTCTCTCCACCCTCGCCACTAGGCCAACTCATCCCCGCTGCTCAGTGCTTCCCAATCCTCCACCGCGACTGGGATCCCCCGCTTCCCGCCCGCCGGCCCGAACCTCTTCCTCCCACCCAGCGCAACGTTCCGCCCCGATACGCTCCAGCGCCGCCACTGCATCCGCGTCCGAAGCCGCGTCCCACAACGCATCTGCCATGGCGCCGTGTGCATCGGGGTGTTCACACCGCAAGAGACGTTCTGCCCAAGACAGCCCCTCAGGTCCACCTGTCTCACCGATCCGGGGGTCAGTAAGGTCCTGGCGAGTGAGGATGAGCGGGTGCTCGCGGCTCTGAGCGCCATACACGGCCTCCGGCAACGGGCGATAGCTGCAAACGGGAGCGGGACGGGGACCGAACAATGGAAGCACGCGAGGACGACCCTTACGAATACTGCATGACATGTTAGCTGCATCTCGCTGCGAACAGCACGCGGAAAGCAAAAGACGATGGTAGCGATGATGGTAGCGATGATAACGGATAACGAATCTCAAGGGACGTTTTACAGAGACCCGCGAGACTGCAGAATGAGCACAACGCCCCAAAAGCACATCGAGTACATAAACCTTCGAAGTCACCCCTACTACCCCACCCTTCGAAACAGGGCCTGAAGACAAAACCAACGTACCGGGTTAGGAAATCGAAGTGCCAGGGGAAGAAGTACCAAGCCTTGCGACGACCGCGCTCATCGTCACCAAAATGCTCCTTCATGTAGGACACCAGAAGCCGATACACACCCACGCGCTCCGAAGTCGTCAATAGCAGTTCACGGCCCTAAGATAACACAGCACCAACACAAAACACGGCATTACGGTTAACAGAGAGTCAGCAAAGGAATATGGACATTGATTATCTAAGGACATAGCACAGCTCCTAGCCTCGCTCCGCACCTCTTTGAATTCCAGGAACAGCCAAGGCTTAATGAGCGCTCCCCGCCCCGCCATGACCGCCGCACATCCCGACTCCTCAAGACGTGCGCGAGCCTCGTAGTGGGTCAGAATGTCGCCATTCCCGATGATGGGCACCGAAGAAGATCGAGCCAGCTCTCCTACACGGCCCCAGTCTGCGGCCTTCTTGTACCTTCGGCATGTACACGGAGGAGATCGCAATTGCAAAGCCGGCAGCATATATCAGGATAATGACAAATTGACAACTAGAGAGATGACAGTTGAGATGGTGTACGGTTACGGGCAAAATGTACGCAGTCTTCAGGAAAAGTCGATGTGCTGAAGAAAAGGGGCGATAAATAAAAAGGACAAGCGGACTGTATGTGATGTGTGTGTATATGTCTCTTAAGGAATGATGGTGAGCGGAAACTATAAGTCATTTGTACGACCGTCCATAACAGGCTAAAACAGCAAAAGGGAACAAAGGCTACACATCAGGCCTAACGAGAACCCTCAGCGCAATATCTTCTCGATGTACACCCCCTAGAAGGAAGACTCGGTTATGGACATCAGCTTTGGAATTGTCGGCTAAAGATGTGTAGCCGAAGGGGAATCCAAAAAGCATCATCAGCTGTCCTCGTTCGAGTATCAGCGAGACTAACCCACAAACAAGAACACATAAATCACGGAGAAAGTCTTCGTACACGCCTGACTCCTTTCCAAATACGCACACGCCTCGCCGTCACGTGGCCACGACAATTCATTTGAAAAGACACACACACGCATGTACATATATACCCCCCCGCATGCGCCACTGCAGCCGTCAGAAGGTGGAAGTGTCGGTCACCGTCCCCCACAGCGGTTCGAAACAGCCGCAGGGACTGCCGAAGGGGAATCCCAACGGTTTCATCATCCGGCCGAAATGGGCTGTGACAAACGGAACCTAAAAGGCCCTCGGGCCCCAAATCGGACAAAGAGCTGCGTGTCACTCTTGCCGTCTTGTCCTCAGGACACGTCGGCCATTGCCACAGGGCACGACACAGCACATCAACAAACCTACACATTCGCCAATCAAAATGTGCAACAAGCCATGAGTTGACGTTGCTTTCTTCTACCTGGCACCACAGTCTTTACATACAGACTTGAATCCAAAGAGAATGATGTTTTCCGTCATTACCGCCACCCACAACCACACGCACCTCTGTTCCGCTGTCCGGCCGTGCACTGTCACCGCCGCAGCCCCAGCTCGTTCCAGGAAACGCACCACCGAGTCCACGTTGATCTTCTTGTCGTTCTCTCCCAGGCGAACCTGCGTCGCCAGCAAATTGCGGGAAGGCATGCCCACCTTAACAAACTATCGACGGAGGATAGGCGGAGTGAATGAAGACGGGAAAAAAGAGCAAAACAAGGCAACGATGCAGAGGTCAACGATCCTGGGCGTTGGGGCAATGATAAGAACCAAGAACCCAGCAGCAACTTCTCCATTACGACATTCCTCAAGCTATACCACCTTCCATATCTCCCTCCCTACACATAATTGCCCGCGCCACGCACGGAGCTGTGCTTGATCGTGGTGTTGTGGCGGACAGGGGCATGCGCTAACATAGCTACATACAAGGACCGAGGACTAGGACAGCAGGGGAGGTTGTATGAGCATAATTCCAGTAGGATTGCCCAGTCAGCACACAGGGGAGCCAGGGGACCACAAATCATCGCAAATGTGCCAATAAGGACATCTAGCAAGCACAAGGTTTCTCCCAAAAACTTCCTCCTCTACACGTTGCCCCGGTAGTAAATGCGCTCTCACCTTGACAGTCACAGGCAGCTCCGACTCCGCGGCGATGCCGGCCACCATCTTGGCGAGTGCACGCGGCTTTCGGAGCATGGCGGAGCCCATCCCACGGCGCGTCGCCTCTGATGCCGGGAGTAGCGTACAGGGGGAATTATGGCACAACGAACCTTAGTACCGGGACATTCAGCTGTTCAACGTCGCAGATCGGGCTATCTAGTTTCCCCCGCGGCGCCTCTTCATCGCTACAAGAAATCCCAATTCCCAATTCCTTGCACATTTGGCAACCGCATTTGAGCCGATGACGAGGAGTGATGTGGAGCACGGAGCCATTCTACCTAACCTGATCTGGGTGCCACACATTCCAACCCAACCAAAAGCAGACACCAGCTCAGCCGCCCATGTTCTCACCCAAACAGACAACCCCAGCACCCACCCACACAGCCAACATCCATGAAATAGCCAAATTCCACACTTGTTACCCCGCTCAGCTATCCTCAGCGAATCACCGTCGCTCACAAACACAAACAAGCAACTCACCGTGGATCGGGCAGCCGCAATTGATGTCCAGGAACTGCGCCCCTGCCTGAGGGCCGCCGAATGAAACATGAACGCGTCGCGAGAAAGAAGGAAACAGGCAAAGTCATAAGAAGGCTTACTTGGTCACAAGCACAGGGGAACCCCAGATAAGATGCGTGCGGAAGCTGAACCAGGAGAAAGTAATGCGGGTGAAGAGGGTGGCCAAGGATTGCGTTGATTTGGAGGTTTGCTGATGAGGGGGGTTAGTGAACCGCAGTGTAGTCCGCCGTTACCATCCAGACCATGCCGCCGTTGCTCACCTCCTTGGCGAGCTTTGAGGCAGCGATGCCATCCGCGATCGTCTTGCACGCGACTTGGAAGCCGAACATAGACTCTCCAGGCGCCTTATAAAGGCGAGCGCGCTCGACTCTGTCGCCTCAACCCATGCGAGGAAGCTACAGGGCCAGGGTTAGCAAAAAGACGATTATGTTGCGTCGATGTAAGACTATGCAAGGTAGCATACCTTTCAGTAAAGGTTTGCTGAAAGACATCTCCGACATCGTCACCTCACACCCAAAGTGTAAGCAAAGCCGCCGAAATGGTACATTCCCGCCCTATGTAAACGCGTCGGCGCCGTCAGAAGCGAATTGACCGCGAATAAATGCTCTGCTCGGTATACCTTTGTAAGAGGAGCCAGCAGGAGCTTTCCACGAAGCTGTTGCGCAAAAGCCGCATTTCGTGCCTTGACCCACTCAGGGGCCTCATAGTCGAAATCCGCTTGGCCGGAAGGCGATGGCTCTGTAACATTCACATCCACTAAGGCAGTCTGGGAACCTTCACTACCTGCTTGTCGGCAGAAGCTCCTGCAACGCCGCACAGCTGCCCTTGTACATGGCGGCTGCGGACATAAGACAGACCCTGCCGTGCACCGATATGTAGCCAACATTATATCATAAATGTCGACCTGCATAAAGTACTCGCCAAGTACTGTGCATCCCCAATCGGGGCCTTTGGATTTGGTCGTTTGTACGGTGATCCAAACTTCTTTCCGACAGAACAAAGATTCGGCTCCAGATACACAGAGCAGCAAAAACCAAAATATATATATTGTACTGAAACTACTTATAGGCACATACAGGTACATATGTCCATCCCTTTCCGTTGTTCGAATACGGCACATCAGAGTGCCGTATTCGTTTGGTATGAACCATGGTTCAAAAGATGGGGGCCCTTGTGAAGCAGCTGCCCGCGTTTCCAAAGCACGTATGGTGATGTGGAAGGTGCGGAAGTACGTCGGTGAAATATAATGTGGTAGGACTGGAGAGAATAGTGTAGCAGTATAATGTATTGTGAGTGTAGCTGAAGCTTTCATCGTGGGCGCGTCTCGTTGCAAGCTA